GGGGGGGGGGGGGGGGATTGGCTCCAGGCTCAAGACTCCCCAGGCTCCTCTTCAGTGAAGAGAGATGAACTGCGTTAAGGAAGCCAACAAAAAAGCTGTTGATAACAAATACAATCCTTAATGACCATTCATTCTCAGCTTTCAGAGCATTAGGAGAGACTCAAATGCCCCAAGAGAATAAAACCTCTTTTTCTGATTTCATTTCAGATTGATAAGCTCTCCAAATTTCTCCATTTGCATTTTCTCCATTTTAATGGCTTTGTTTCCTGTTTACACAACCACTGTAATGTAAACAAACTTTCAAAAGAAGGCTCTGGAATGGAGGTTGGTGGAGGCTGGCTGTTAAGTCCCAACTGCATTTCAAATTAGAGGGGAAGGGGATTCCCCATTCATTGAACCAACACTCCCCGAGTCAGGCTGTAAACTTAAACCTGGTCCTGCCCTCAGGACCTGCCAGCCTAGATAGAGGATCTGAATTATAATCTAGTGTGGCTGCATGACACCACAGAATGCCCAGTTCTGCATAGGGAAGTCCCCAGGGCCCCTCAAAGGAGGAGGTATCTGTGCTAGGCCTTTATGGGTGAGTGGGAATTTTGAAGTTGGTTAAACAATCCAATAAATATTTTTTAGTGTCTGTCATGTACCAGGGATTGTTCAAGCCACTAAAGAAAAAACAGGGTGGGAGAATTAATAAACAAAATGTGCTATATCATACAATAAAATATTACGCAGCCACCCTGTCCAGGTGGCTCAGTTGGTTGGAGCGTCCTCCTGTACACCAAAAGGTTGCAGGTTCGATTCACCCATCAGGGCACATACCTAGGTTGTGGGTTCGATCCCTAGTCGGGGTGCATACGGCAAGAGTCGATCGATGTTTCTCTCTCACATCGATGTTTCTCTCTCTCTCTCTCTCCCTTCCTCTCTCTCTAAAAATCAATAAAAACATATACTTGGGAGAGGATTAAATGTATATCTATTATGCAGCCATAAAAAGGAATGAAATTCTGACACATGCAACAACATGGACAGGCCTTGAAAACATTATGCTAAATGAAATAAGCCAGACACAAAAGGACAAATGCTGTATGATTCTGTTACCAGAGTAGTCAAATTCATAGGGAGAGAAAATAGAATAGAGGTTATCTGGGGCGAGGGATGGGGGAGAATTACTGTTAAGTGAGTACAGAGATTTTGTTGGAGATGATGAAAAAGTTGTGGATATAGACAGTGGTGATGGTTACACAACTTTGTGAATGTATTTAATGTCGCTGAACTGTACGCTTACCAATGGTTAAAGTAATAAGTTTTATGTTATGTATGTTTTATCACAATTAAATTTTTTTTGATGTTAAAAAATAGGGATGGGGATTAGGATAGGGAAAATAAATGAACAACACCCAGACTGTCCTCATGGAGCTTACAGTCTAATGGAAGAGGCACACATCAAAAGTGATGTGTAACCAGAAATGTGAAAAATGAGATAAATTTCTGGGTACAGATGGCAGACTGGACTCAACACCTTTGCTCTTTCCTAAAACCCCACCTACATGTCAGTCAAGGGATTTTTATGTGAAGGTAAAAACCATCAAGGATGAGGCACTGAGAGAGGGACAATAGCAACAACATATAGGAGGCTGGAGAGCCAAGGGATGCATGTAGATATCTTAGAGGACTGAGAAAACTGAGTCCCCCAAGCAGTGGAGGAGGCCAGGAAGCACCCTACTCTTCACCACAGACCCCTCAAAGGCTCAGGAGCCAGAGGCATAGCATAGCTCTGAAGGTGGGGAAGCAGGAAGGGGTGACAAACAAGAGGGATTGGTTGAAACTCTATTTAAGAAGCAGTTGGAAGCCAGATCCATCCTCTACTGTAAGAGGTTGGGATGTGCCCCTTACACCTCAGCAGAAGGCTATAGGCTCATTCTCCAGAGAGAGTTAAACAGAGGGTCTCCGGCCTTGGGGGAACCAGGACAGATAAAGGCAAGTAGTGTCCAAAACAGAGGGATTAAGTAAACATCAGCATTCTGGATCCCTGTTCTCTTTCTCTTCTTGGCAGGAGATTAGAAAAATCTCCTCTGGAGCATCTGACCAGTCTGAAAAGAATGACCTAAAGACAGTACCATGGGGGATTACATAACAAGTAGCTAAACTGGGTCATCCTATCATGAAGCTCAGTGAAGAAACCCCTCCCTCAAACTCAGAGATTGCAATCAGCTTTTTAATTCCCAATTCTTAAAATATAATCAATAAGGGGGGAAAAGACCAATTGGAGTGAGTAAGGACTTTGAAGGAAAAAAAAAATACTACTTAATATCTTCAGAGATAAGAGAAGATATTGTAATTATAAAATAAAAACAGGATGTGATAAAACAGGAACTTTTAGACCAAAAGAATTCTAATAAATTAAAAATAGGAGAGCAGAGTCCATCCAGGCATGGCTCAGTGGTTGAGCATCGACCTAGGATCCAGGAGATCGTGGTTTGATTCCCAGTCAGGGCACATACCGGGCTGCAGGCTCGATCCCCAGTCGGAGGCATGCAGGAGGCAGCTGATCAATGACGGCTCTCTCATCATTGATGTTTCTATCTCTCTCTCTCCTTTTCCCTTTCTCTCTCTGAAATCAATAAAGATATATTAAAAAAAAAAAAATAGGAGAGCAGAAACCAGAGACTGAATAGAAGGCTGAATGACAAATTAGAGAAAATCTACCAGAAAATTGATAAAAAAGACAGATATGTAAATAGAAAAAATACATTTAAAAAAGTAGGGATTTAGCCCAGGGTTCCAACATCTTAATAGTAGGATATCAAGAAGAAAGAAGAGAAAAAAAGAGGGGAGAGAATCACTAATGAAACAATATAAGAAAATTTCCTAGATCTGAAGGACCCACACTTCTAGACTGAAAGAACCCATGGAGAGCTTAAAATAATGGATTAAAATAGATACACACAACAGCACATCATTATGAAATGTCAAAGTATTAGAGAAAAAGAAAAGCTCTTACAACCTCCCAGAGAAAAACATCCGAAGCCAGAAGTCAATGGAGCAAGGTGTTTAATCTTCTGAAGGAAAATTATTTCTAACCTAGAACTCTATACCCAACCAAGTTATCAACTAAGTTGTAAGAGGAACATATTTTCAGATATGCAAGGTCCCCAAAAGTTTACTTCCTATATGTTCTTTCTCAGGAAACTATACTTGACCCTGAAAACACAGGTGTTAGGGGCACCAACCCCTCAAGCAGTTGAAAATTTGTATAACTTTTGACTCCCCCAAAACTCAACTACTAATAGTCTATTGCTGATGAGAAGACTTACTGATGACACAGCCAATTAACACATATTTTGCATACTATATATATTATATACTGTATTTTTACAATAAAGTAAGCTAGAGAAAAGAACATGTTATCAAGAGAAGGAAGAGAAAATATATTTATAGCATTGTACTGTGTTTATTTTTATTTTTTTAAAAATACATCTTTATTGATTTCAGAAAGAGGATGAGAGAGGGAGAGAGAGAGAAAAAAACATCAATGATGAGAGAGTCATTGATTGGCTGCCTCCTGCACACCCCCAACTGGGGATCAAGCCCACAACCCAGGCATATGCCCTCACCAGGAATCGAACCACAATCTCCTGGATCCTAGGTCGATGCTCAACCTCTGAGTCACATGTGGCCAGGCGATACTGTAAGTTTAGATCGTCTGTTTATAAGACGAAAACAAAATCCATGTATAAGTGAACCCACACAGTTCCAGTCCATGTTATTCAAGGGTCAAATGTACTCAACCTAAATGAGGGCATAAACCAAGAAAAGGAAGATGTGGGATGGGAGAACACAAGAGCAAGGCAAACGGACTCCCCAGGTTGACAGTGATGGGAAATCCCAGAATGACATTTGTGCAGCCAGCAGAGGGGGCAATAATTCAGACCTGAGAGAGTTAGAGGCTGGGGGATACATTCCTTCAAAGAGATGAAACCAACAGCCTGCTTTAGGTCCTAAACCTCTTAGGGGGATTTAGGAAACTGGCAGAAAGTTGGGGTAGAATTTGTGGTAAGTATGCAGAAAATAAAGCAAACTCCAGGGAAAACAGAAAACTGTTCGGGGAAAGAAATCAAAGTTTACAAAACGGCTTGGAAGGCGCATAGACTAGAAAGGGTCCATGTATGTCAAAGGGCAAAAGGAGGGAAAAGACTAATACTATCTTCTTCCATAATGGGAAGTCAATAGATAACGCAAAACTGAAAAAATTAGGAAGCAACACAAACAAAGGTAAATTCCGAAGGAACCAGCTAAAAGTTGAAAAGGATAGCTATTTTTTGGTAACAGACCTTGTAGACCCATTTGACTCTAAACCATGAACATGCATGACTTTATAAAAATAAAAATGAAATAAAAGGTCCATGGTACCATGGGTATATAACAGGGACACAGCTTTAGATAGGGAGGTGGACTCTGAGCTGAGAGCTGATGGTTGAGTAGGGTTAACAAGGCAAGAGGAGGGAACAGCTAGTGCAATGGTCTTAGGGGGTGAAAGATCAGTAAAGTTAAGGCAGAGCCCAGCAGAGAGGAGGTTGCAGAGGTGGGAGAAGAAACAGACTTATGCAGTGCAGAGTCACATTTTGAAAGGATCTTTCTTAGAAAGGTGTGAAGAACCAGTTAGAAGGGGCCAGAGTGGAGGACACAAGGAGACCAGCTGAAGGTGATTACAGAAGTCACTGTGAAAGCTCTTGGTGCCTTGGACCTGGGCAGTGGTAAGGAGGTAGGGGAGGAAGTGAAAACGGATTCAGAATGATTTGGGAGGAAGAACTGATAGGATCAGATGACAGACTGGGTCATGGGAGAGAGAGGCTGGGGTTCCTGGGTTTCTTTCTATGGATGAGAAAAGAAAGGAGACTTTTAAAAAATCTTGTAGCAGACACTTATCAACATGGAGATAATGTAGTATTGTCTGAGGGCAGCAGAGAAAGAACCCCAAGAGAGACTTACTCCACGCTTCCTGGAAACAGATAATATTGACTCCACACATTGCAGCCACCTCTACAATGGCTTCTATACGTCTGTGAAGGGCAGAGACCTGGGAGTTTAAAAATCAAGTATTAGAAGAGCATTTGAGATCTTGCTTCCCAGCAATATCATCAGCTTGGCTCAAATAAACTCACAAAAATTCTCTACAAATTTGGATGTTTCTTATATTGACATTTGCTGGCAGGATTTTGAAGACCCCTATCCAGGACTACCCCGCAGACCTGTACCTGGTGCTAGGTACCAGCATGGTCCCTTTGTGCTTCACCGCTCCCCACTTCAAACTCGATGAACTTGGAAAGGACATCAAATAAAGACATTCTCCAAACTCATTGGAAGGAAACTTATCAGGCACCTAACCATGAATGAACACCTACAAGGTGTTCTGCCTTACAAGGGACATCAAAGATTCCTCTAGGATGAGAAGCTGTTGACACCAGAGGTAGACAGCTATCCCAAGACATTGACAAGGCCTGTATACCTATGGATTGACGCTGAACTCAGAAACTATTTTGTTTGATTGTCTTTACCTGCCTGCTAATGATATTAGCAATAATATTTATACTTGTTCTTTGGGTTTTTCTATATAGTCCAACTGTTTATGATTACTGAACATGTATAAGATAACTGTTAATAATCTTTTTATGGCTTATGTAAATGTTATATTAGATGCCATAAACAGAAAAATGAGACAGACAGCAAAACTTGGATCATGATAGTTCACAGGACAGAAATGATCCAGACTGTTGACTGCCTTTCATGTACCTGCCCTTTCCTTTTTGGGAAAATTCAGGCTCAACTCACATCCCATAGTTAGCTACAGTATTGCTCCACCTCCAAAGGTCAATAAGAGGATGATGATACTGAGACTTCCTAGGAATGAGACTTGCTAGTGCTGTGAGACCATACTATCCATCAATGCATTCTTTGGATTGATTTATGACCAAAAGGGGGGAATTGAGGACAAAAAAAGGGGCTCTATGGAAAGTAACTTCACAGGATTATCTGATCATAAATTTCTAACTGGGCAGGTCATGTTGGGTAGTCACGCCTCAGGCCTATAACTTCCTCAGTAAAAGGTTATCTTTGCCTTAAGCAAGCCTAAGCCCTACCCATTGTTTCTGTGATTCTAGGTTAACATATCTTTGAAATGACTTTTTTTCAGACCTCTTTTACCTGCCCTTTACCCAGACCTCTCAGAAGCTTAACAACCCTCAATAGAGCATGTAATCTTATTAACTATCCTGTAATCCAATCCCTGCCTTGCTTTCTCCCACTTTCATGTAATCTTCCTTATATTCCATCCTTAATTCCAAATGTATAAAACAAACTGCAAAACTGTTATTCTCTGGAGATTTGAGATCATGCTTCCTGGCAATGTTGTCAGTTTGGCTTAAATAAACTCATAAAAATTCTCTACAAATAAATAAAAATCAAGGATTAGAACACATTAGTTCTATTGGTTGAGACCATTTTAGAACTCACCCCAATGCACATGGAACAACAACCCCCTATTCGGTCAGCTGCCAGAGGATGAGCAGGGTGGGGAGGTTCTGACATCTCATACTGTCATCAGGTTCAAAATCTACATGAAAAGGGGGAGCTGCAGAAGTTCTGGGGTCCCACACACCCTCGATACTGCCTTTCTGAGCCTCAGTTTCCTTGACTGGAGAATGGGTAGAACATTGCCTGCCTCATGGGGTTGTGAGGAGGATGCTCTGCTATGAGGATGCTGGTTACTGCAAGAGGATGGCCCACATCCAGTAGGCCTACTGCACAACAGGACCATCCCCTGGGTTAACTGTTCCCTCCCGCCAGAACACAGTCCACTTTCCACCGCCCTGTATGCAAGGCTTCAGGAATGCCTCGTTTTGCCACTTTTATTTTTCTGTGTGTATCTTATGACTGAATGACTTGCCTTTCTCGGCTATGCCCGTGGCCAGGAATGTGCTTCCTTCTCCCACCCAGTCCTCCCTGGATAGGTTATCTATGTCACATGTCACCCACAGAGGGGAGACTCTCCCAGGAGTATTGAGGTATCTCTACTCTCCCCAGCCCCTGTGGTGGTGCTGTTCCCATTGTGCTGTCACATTCCTTCACTGTCTGTCACTCCCATGACCCCACGAGTTCCTTGGGGGCAAGAGGCAAGTGTCCTCATCTCTGTGTCCTCAGCATGATGGCTGGCTCCCAGGAGACATTCAGAAGTGTTTGTTCAAAGAAAGACCAGGGGAACAAGGCTGAAAACCCAGAGAGCACAAGCTCTTTACAATGTTCTGTCTCTCCCCAGCAAGACTGCGCACACCAGGGCTCCACAGATGTTTGCTGGGGGCTGACAGTGTGCAAAATGTGCTTCTAGGTGCTGTGGGGATGGGAACAGCACCCCTGCCCATGACGACCTGACAATCTGGGAATGGTCAAGGAGATACGTTGACAATCAGCTAATCTGAAAATCAGAAATCTTTTAATCCAACCAAAGCAGAGGAAGGACAGATGTGAAAGACAATGCAGAACCTGAACTGGAATCCAACTGATCTTAGGTTTCGTAAGAATCCCAAAGAAATCTCAGCATGCTGTATCCAGAGGCCACCTCTGCAGAGAAAGTTGGGAAGTTTGAGCAGCGGGAGGAAAGCTGTGAAGAAATAAGTGTATACAACACACTGCCCGCATCTGTGACATGTTTCTTTAGGGAAACACAAGATGCTGTCACATTGATATTAATTGTAAGGTCATAAGCAAATGCTTATCATATTCCTGCAACCCTGCAGGCACCACCAGCTGACAGACATCTGGGTGCAGTAAGTCACACCCTGAGGAACAAGGCAGAGGAACACCTGGACGGACACACAGGTCCTGACTGGTGTGTGCTGGCAGGAGACTGAGAGGCAGAGTTCCATGGAGAGTGTGAGCCAGCCAAAAGGGCACCATCCCAATCGGTAAATGGAAAAATAGATCAATTGCAGGAAAGGAAGCAGAGGTGTAGGTGGAAAGAACAGTGAGTAGTGAGAGGAAGGCAGAGAAAGTGTAGCAGCCAGAAGAAAAAGAAGAGCCAGAAACAGGCGGGAGGGAAGGGGGACAGCCAGGACAGAAGTGTCTGGGCAGACTATTTGCTCACTAGATGTACCTGCAGACCCAGAGCAAGCAGCCAGCAGGAGACTGTAGATGTGTTCAAAACAGAGAGCAGGGCACAGCCTGTTTATATATTTATGGTCAAAAGCAGTCGCACCTGTTTGGCCACAGGGGCATCCGCGGGCAGGGGGATTTTGTTCTGAACAAGCCCCACACGCACTGTCCGAGGTCCCCTCAGCTGCTCTTCTGCTGCCTCGAAGGCATATCCCTGCAGCTCAAAGTCCCCTTCAGAGGCCAACTCAAAAGCCCTGCTGGGCAGGTCGAGTTTCCTAAATGGGCAGGAAAGAAGGGAGATGATTTGCATGAGGTGTGCTGAATTTAAAATTCCCCCAAGCCCAGAGTTATTCATCAGGTAGGGAAGAGGTTATGTGTCCTGGCAAGAAGGCACACAGAGCAGTCCAATGCCAGGTGGAATCTGGAGGAGAGGGAGGGCCTGGATGGCTGGAAACAGACACCACTCTGAGTGTGGACTTAACCTGATGGTCACTGGGGAAATTTCAGCAGGCAGACGGGAGTGGTCAGATGTGGCTAAGGGAGGCAGCAGGGTGGGTGATGGAAGCGGCAGGGAGACTAGTCAAGAGTTGATATTTGAGTTGCTGAAATCAGTGTGGAGATTAAAGTCTCAGCAATCAGCACAGAAGTGAGGGAATGGATTCCCAAAAATGTCTGTGGACTAGAATGAGAGGGCTCTGCTGAGCCTGGGGGATGGGGTGGGCTGTGATAAGACAGGGGCTGTTGAGAACCAGGCTCAGGAAATGGCTGGGTGGAGAGGCCAGGACTGATAGCATGACAGAGGATCCTGTGGCCCTTCACTACTAAGGATTACAAGTCTCCTGTGATCCCCACTATTCTGTCCTACTGCCCCTTCCAGACGGGAGACAGTTCCATGCACAGTGCTGGGTATGCTTGGTGAGGGGCCAAGTGTCTAGACCAAAGGACCAAGTGCTCATCCTGGTTTGTGATTTATTAACAAAGGTAAGTGGATTATTTATAAAGCCTCCCACTGAAGTGACCGTTGGCCACATGGCAAACACCTCCTGATGCCTGTTGCATGCTTGGTGCTGAGGTGAAACCCACAGGGGCATGAGGCTTGGCCCCTGGCCAGGAAGGCCTTACCATCTGGGGACGAGATGGTTATGAAATACCCAGAGAACACATCAAAAAATAACCTGACAGCCATTATCTAATGATAATATTTCCCTCCTACTTTAAGTCACTTTCTTAAAGATGTTTCTTTCAAAATCACAGCCCTGTCAGCCCAAGCCCCTGTTGCCGCCCCCTGCCAGGCAGTTTCCGTATGACAGCCTTGACAGCTCCTGAGATGGGTTCCACCCCTGACAATCAGTTCCATTCCTTCAGCAGGTTAGAAATAACAGCAGTGCCCACACCTCGCCTCCCTTTGCCGTGATTGCCTCCTTCTCTCAGGCAGAGCCCCCCATCTCGGCAGGCCCCAGCCCCAGGACAAGTCACCGTGGTGGACGGGAGAAGGAAAAGGGTGTTCTGCTGCCCCTAGGACCATGGCCAGGGAGCCAGACCACCCTTTGGGAGAGGTCCTGGCAGCCCAGTCCTTGTGCCAGGAAGATACTAGGTGGCTGAGGTCTGGTCTCAGGTTTGCAAGCCTGACTGTAACCATCACCTGGGTGATGTCCTTTAGCCTCTAGCCATCTCTCCCCATCTACTGCCCACAGCTGCCTGCTCTCCCCATCCTTCCACCACCATCAGCCCCATTGTTCCACCACAACCTTCCTGCCTCCTCACCATCTATGCTGAGTGCTGCCTCCATCCCTCCATCCCTCCATCCCTCAGCTCCCTGCAGACACTCTTTCTCCCAGGCCTGAGGCAATGCAGGCCAGGCCCCTCCACTTTTGGGGCCCCACCTCTCCTCGACACCCCCTACAGCAAGATTTCCCCACCCTGGTGTTATCCAGGGGGTCCATCGCCAAGCCTTGGAGAACCCATTCAACCCTTGGGCCCCATTCCACAAACCATTTGCTGTGCCCACCAAAGGTTTGGCTCAGGGATGTGGCGGGGCACAGATCTGCCACGACCCAGGAAGGGCAGAGACCAGCAAATGAGCCACAACCTCACACAAGGAGAGGTGGAGGATCTGTGCTGCCCACAACCTTGCCTTGTTCCCCATAGTTGGCTGCCTGTGCCCCCACCCCTCTTGGGCTCACCTCCAACTTCATGGGGGAAAACTTATCACTTCCTGTCCTGGCCCAAACACCCTCCAGGCCCTTCTTTCTGGCCCCCTACCTCTCCACCCAGGGTCAGGGCAGACCTTGCCTGAGCAAGCTCAGCTCCTGCCTCCTCAGCAACCTCTCGCTACTGGAACTTCACCTTTCCCCTTGTTTTAAATAATAAAATAATAAAATTTGTTACAAAAGAAACACATGCTCATAGGGGAAAAAAAATCAAAGAGTGAAAAAGTATATCAAATGAAAATGAGTTCCCCTCTCCATCCTACCTCTTAGCCCCCATCCTGAATTCCAGAGATGACCCCTCTTAACAATAATTTATGTATCTTTCCAATATTTTTCTATATAATAGCATCAGTCTGTATATTCAGCTCTCCCACTTGCCTTTTTCATTTAAGACATGACATCTCTCCCTGTCTCCTACAGACCTACTATATCCACAACTAAAGATAACTGAGCCTTTCCCATTAAAAATTAGGAAAAGCAAGCAAGCAGGGAGAGCAGGCTCTACACAGGTCCCCCTTGTTACCTCACTTGCTTTCCCCTCTCCCCTCCACAGGAAGCGTCCCTACAATCCTCACCTGCCACACCTTCCTCAGCTCTGTTTCCCAGCTCCTCATCAAAATCCACCAGCCACCTGAGGTTCCAAGCCAGAAGCCAGAACGACCCATCCACACCATCTGTTGACTTCCCTGAGACCTCTAGAACCCTTCCTCCTCTCCAACCCCAGGCACTCTGTTTGCTTTAGGCCTCATATTTCACCTTCACTTTTCAAATTCACCTTGGAAGGCCCCCACCACCATCAGGACAAGTCCTGCTGCCTCAGCATGGCATTTAGAGCCCCCAGGACCACGAGGGCTACTCCCTCCTGCTCTCTTGGGCGATCCCCACAGCACTCTACACTCACAGTGTATGGGCATGTCCCCTGAATGGGCATGTCCCCTGGTGTCCGGGCCTTAGACTAGAGTACCTGAGTACTTCCTGTGTCTAACCAACTCCTCCATCTCCCCTTCAGGATGCAGCTCAAGCATGGCACCCCTGGGAAGCCTTCCTGACCTACGCCAACCCTGTACATGTAGACAACCACTTTTAAAAGCCCCTTTGTTGTTGTTGTTGTTAATCCTTACCCGAGGAATTTTTCCCATTGATTTTTAGAGAGAGTGGAAAGGAGAGAGGGAGGGGGAGGAAAGGGGGAGAGAGAGAGAGAAACATCGATGTAAGAGAGACACATTGATTGCCTCCCACATGCTCCCGATCAGGGCTGGGGATTAAACCTGCAACCCAGGTATGTGCCCTTGACTGGGAATTGAACCCGAGACCCTTCGGTATGCAGGCCGACAGTCTAAGCACTGAGCCACACCAGCCATGGCTGGCTTCCTCATTCTTGTATCCCTAGTGCTCAAGACAAAAATAAATGCTCAATAAACGTTTGTTAAATGAATAAATGTTTCTTGGTTCTGGCTGTCTTAAAATTGAGCATCAGTGTTCTTTGGGGATTTCATCTGTCCGGCACAGTCAAGGCCCATATAGTTCATTCACTTAGCAAACATTTACTAAGCATCATCTTTGTAGGGCACAGCAAGTCATTGGGAGAGAAGGTGGTCTTCTGTGGAGCACAGAGGGAGTTCAAAGGAGGGGCTGAGGACTCAGGCTCCACCAGACCTTCACAGAGGGGTCCATATTTGAGTCAGGCTATGAGGAAACAATAGGAGTTTAAGTAGGAGAAGTTTTTAAATGACTAATTTCCTATCATTTAAGATGATTAAGTTCCTTCCAAATCCCACCGAATTGCAAGAACTGAGCAAGGACACAGGTTTACGCCCTAAAGGTAAAGCCTGGAAGGGTTCAGTGCTGAGTGAAACAGACCAGTAAAAGAGAATTGGAAAAATAAAGGAAAGGGGGAGCCACAAAGGAATTGCAAGAACTGAGTAAGGACACAGGTTGATGCCCTAGAGGTAAAGCCTGGAAGGGTTCAGTGCTGAGTGAAGCAGACCAGTAAAAGATAATTGGAAAAATAAAGGAAAGGGGGAGCAACAAAGTCAGTTATTGTGAGCCAAGACCCAGGATGAGGCCTGGCAGTCACTGGTCAATAAATGTTAGCTCCCATTTTACCACCCATTATAATCCCTCCCCACACTAGAGGAGCCCAAATGCTCATGGAAAGTCCTTCTTAAAGGTAGTCTTTACCCTGATTTCTAGAATGTGCCCCAGCCAATCACCTATGTGGAAAACTTATTTCTCTTTTCCTAAGACTCTTGTGTTTTGACTCTCCCTGACACTCACAAGCCCTCTGTTTTTTTCCCAGGAGAACATGCCGACCTCCCCCTTAAAATAAACCTATTCTCATCCCGAGAGCAGTAGCCTGAGATGCCCCTTGCTTTAAGACACCTTGAAACCTTCTTTGGGAGCCTCAGCTCTAAGAGGCCTCCCCAGTGATGAGCCTTGACAGCTTTGGTGGAAAGTGGTATTCCAGCATGAGCACACTGGAGGTGCCTTGAAGGTCATCCAGTCCCGTTCCTCCTCTTTGGGTATGAAGACCCCTTTTTGACAAAGTTCTGTACCACTCCCACCTCCAAAGGCAGTTGTTCCATCTTTATCATCGACTAACTGTGAAACACCTGAGGATCTGAGGTCGGACCTCCCTGCCGTAACTCCATAGCATGGGTAGCTGGGAACCATTGATCCAATCAACACCCTCAAGTTTCTGGTGAGCTGATCAGGCTCCTGCCTTAAGGTCACCTCGAAGGTCAGGGAGCCCACCGATTGGCAAGGAAGTGGGAGGGCATTTAGTTAGAAGCTGCATGGGGTCAGAGTTCATTGTAAGAGTCACAGAAATCCCTTATAGCTTTTACACAAAGGAGCAACAGGATATGATTTACATTTTCTGGTTGCTTTGAGAAAAGTGGACTGAGGAGAAACCAGAGTGGAAGGGGAAGTGTTTTCCAGCTTTGTATACCCAGGGTCCAGCAGTGCAATGCCCTCAGAAAGCCCTGGTGATGCACAGGACTGGCTGGCGGTGGAAAAACACTTGCACAGCGTGTAGTAACTCACTTCTGTGGCTCGGCAAGCAGGACAGGTTCCTTGACCAACCAGTTTCAGCAGGCCTCTACCTCCAAGGGACCCTTATAGGCCGAGTCACTGCGAGGAGGAGGGGCTGGGGCTGGACAATCCGTTGACCTGCTAGGGGCTCTGACTGGAGACACTGACTAGAATAGGATCTGGGCAAAGCCCTGATCACTGGAAGTGGAGAAGGAGTTAGGGAGAAAGCCTCAGGGAGTAAAAAGCCAGTCTTTTCCTTTCCCTTCCGGTTCCGGTTCCGGTTCCGGTTCCAGTTCCGGGTGACGGGAGAAGTGGCTTGTAAAGGTCACGCCAGGTTGTATAACCCCTGAGCGGCCTAGAGCCGTCACATCTAGACTTTCTTACGGTCTCTGCTCGCCCTCTCAGGACTTCACCACCGCCCCGTCCGAGTCCTTCAGATCCCGAAGCACTCTCCCTGGTCACCCCTGCCCACACTCACTGGCCCT